CATCGCGCCGGGACACGGCATCACAGTATGGTAATGGGCGTAACATTTCCGTCACACGCTTGAGGAATTCGGCCAATATTGGCACTAGATAGCTGGCCAATCAGAGCACACCTAGCTTTTCAGAATGATGAGCTTTGTAAAAATCAACGTGTTTCAGAAAGGTGGGGCATAGAGGAGAAACAATAATGTACAGTATGTGGAAAATAATGTGTTTTTTGAACCTTAAACCGCATAAACACATTTCATTACACCAAATACACAAAATAATGTTCTTTTTAGCAACATCATATGACCCCTTTAATATTCTGATAAACATCAGCCACAGTCTTGAGTTCTACAGCATCAATCAACATCAAGTACTTTTTTTACATTTGGTGATGTAAAGGTCAGTGATGATGGCCTTCAGATTCTGCCAGAGAGACCAAAAGCAGACTAAAAACCTTTAAATCCAACATATGGTTATTGGAATGCAAGCAGAGAATAGTCAATATGTCTTTTTTTGTTGCTGTTGCCATTATTTTTCATTTTATTTTTTTTATCAGTCATATTCTGGTGTAGATATTATTCCTCTATCCTGCTCTTGGGATTTTTTATTGCAATAAACAGACTGTGATACATTTGGTTGACTTTTCAATGCTATCCTATGATCAAATGTCTTTTTCTCTCCTACAGGATGACTACATCCCTTACCCCCGGATTGAGGATGTGAGTCCATGAACACACACACACACACACACACGTTGTGTTTCCATGTATTATGGGGATATTCCATAGGCGTAATGGTTTTTATACTGTACAAACTGTATTTTCTATCACCTACACCAACCTTACACCTAAACCTACCCATCACAGGAAACTTTCTGCATTTTCTTATTTTCAAAAAACTTCATTCTGTATGATGTATAAGCTTGTTTCCTCATGGGGACCTAAAAATGTCCCCACAAGGTAAAAACTTACTGGTATTACTATTGTGGGGACATTTGGTCCCCACAACGTGATAAATACCAGGTACACACACACACACACACACACACACACACACAATACTTCTAAACACAATAGTTCTATGTACTCTATATTAATTTGTTTGTGTATTAGCAATTTAGCACAAGAGGGTTTTCATTATGTTCAAGTGTTTTAAGGCTGAAAGGAACAGATTGTCTCTATTTATTACACAGCTCTTTGGAATACTTCATCCTGATTGGTTAATCACTGCATGTAGATGTTTGTGTAATGATTGCTAAACTGTTGTCCCTGGCAACAAATCATACACTGTGCTATTTATTTTTCCATAGTTTTATAGGTAGCCATTAGCTTTCATTAATAACTTCAGCATTGCTGCTGTTAATAGGTAATAGTTATAAATGTAATGAAAGTTTGATTAAAATATTTTTCATATAGACATTTCATTTGTAATGTTACAAAAGATTTCTATTTTAAATAAATGGCATTCTTTTGAACTTTCTATTCATCAAAGCATCCCGAAAAAGATACATCAAGATTAAACAGAACAACAGTTTTCAACATTGATTATAATAAGAAGCACCAAAACTGCATATTAGAATGATTTCTAAAGGATCATGTGACACTGAAGAAGTAATGGCTGCTGAAAATTCAGCTTTGCCATCACAGGAATAAATTACATCTTATGGAGCTTCAAACATGGCCATTGTCACTCCCTCGCATACAGCCTTTCTAACACAAATCACGTCTTACAAAAGTTAAATCAGTGTATTGTTTTCTGTAAATTAATGAACAGGATGATTTTCACATAATTTTGTTGCAAAAATTCTAGTCTCCAACATCCTGTTCTCAAAAGTCTTGTGAACAAATATGCTATATGTGTTTTATAGCCTTATTTCAGTGACTTAAACATTTTTATTTAGTTTTTCACTAACCACGCATAAACATTGTTTTCTCAAAAACACAAATAAGTACATTCATGCGTCTTACATATTATTGTAGCCCAGTTTGTGTTGATTACAGTGTAATCAGACTTTAGCCATTAATATGTTTTTAAGATACTGAAAAAACACAAATGTCAGGGCATGTCAAAACTTCTCCAGGGCCCCAAAACCCCCTCAGACCCCAGAGGGTTAAATGCAGCCTTGGTGAGTATTTAAAAAAAAAAGATTTAAAAATTTTACAGACTCCCACATTTTTGTATTGTGTATAAGTGTGTTCAATAGTTAGATTATAGTTGCAGATCTGTGGGGCTTGTGAATGATTTAACAATAAAAAAATATTATAAAGTATAATTGAAATATATAATTAAAAACAATTATGACTTTGCTGACCATTTATGTTATTTTTTTGGCTTTGTTGTCTAGGTCCTGGAGAAGGGTGGTCCCTACCCTCAGGTCATTTTACCTCAGTTTGGTGGATATTGGATTGAGGATCCCGAGGCTCCGGTCGGGACGCCCACGTCCTCAGACAGCAGCTTCTGTGAGGAGGAGGAGGATGGTCTGAGTCCCGGTGGAGGAGGAGGAGTAGGAGGAGGCTACAGGCTGGAGTGTAACAGCATCTCACGGGCTTATCGCAAACACTTTCTGGGCAAGGTGAGGATTCTTTTGTTAATTCTGACGGTATGTTTCATTTCTATACTGTAGGTTTACAGGGCAAAAGTATCCATATTTGAAGAAATACCCATGTATGCCCAGGATATTTTAGCTTTTAGCTGAAAGTAAGTGTCCTGTCTGAGGTAATAAGTCATGTGCCCGAAGCTTATTCACTCACAGTTCTTCATAACACTTGGATACGAGGTGTGATGGCGCCTCTTTGAACAAACATTTTGTACTCCACATTTTGGTATCAGTTGTGTGTCACAGAGAGCTTGACAGAGAGCCACACTTGAGTGATAAAAATGCAAATGCAGTCTACTGGAAAATGAACCTCTCCATATCGAAAAATTTGAGGAACGAACTTGTGAAATGACGCCTGTGGAAACACCTTTCTCTTTCTCAGGAGCACATGAACTATTACTGCACAGGCAGTAGTATGGGACACCTCATCATGTCTCTGCAGTATGAGGAGGCAGATGGACAGGAGTCACTCCGCATCATGCTCAGGTGCCATGTTCAGCACATATTGAAACTATATATGGTATAGTCATTGCTAGGTAGGTCTGTATTGTCATAGTAAATAGCTGAGTAATTATTTTTTATGTCATTTTCTAGGTCAAAAACAAAGACCCTTCATGAGCGAATCCCACTTGAAGGCCTCCTCCAGCTACCCAGCGTACCACAGATAGCCAAGGTGTGTATTGGCAGGATATGCAGCACCAGACGAAAGTCAATGCTATTAAATAGCATCAAATCAAATCAAAACTGTCTATTGGCTTAATAACAACTTTTCAGTGAAACAGTCTTTAGGATCATAAGAAATGTGTGCAAAACTGTCAGTGACTTAAGAGACATTTTCTGTGACCTTAATGTCTAATAATCTAGAACATGTACACATCCAAGCAAATATTTAATTTATAGAAAATAGAAAGTGCTATATACACAACTGTTTAAATGTTTGAGGTCAGCAAGATTTTTAAATGCTTTTGAAAGACAACTCTTATGTTCACCAAGGCTGCGTTGCATGTAATCACAAATATAGTAGAGACAGAAATGTTGTGAAATAATATGTTAAAAAATAACTGATTTCTATTGTAATATGTTTTAAAATGTCATTTATTCCTGTGATGGAAAATCTAAATTTTCACCATCATTACTTCAGTCTTCAGTGTCATGTGATACTTCAGAAATCATTTTAATATGCTGATTCGGAGCTACAGAAACATTTCTTAATATCAATATTGAAAAAAGTTAATGCTTAATTTTTTGTGGAAACTGGTACTTTTTTCAGGATTCTGTGATGAATATAAAGTTGAAAAGAACAGGATTTATTTAAAAAAAAAAATTTTGTAAATTAAAAATTCATTTATTTTAATTTATCCTTACTGAATAAAAATATTAATTTCTTAATATATATATATATATATATATATATATATATAT